ACTTTTTTTTTTTTTTTTAATTATTTATTTCACATAAAAAACAAAGAAAACGAAATAAATTTATGAACCATTATGAACCACACAAATAATATCTGTATATGTGAATGACTACTTTGCCCTCGATGTAAATGTATTATTACGATTGTGCTATCAGAAGTTTTTCAATAAATAGGAGTTTCAGTTATAATGAAAATCGAACCAAGAGAATACATTTTCTCGATTCTCTCTTTTCTCTCTAGTTTTATAACACGTTATCAGCACGAGTCTCTACCCTCTAGAGCTCGATTTGTAATATGTTGAAAGCATGCTCTACAGTTGCGTCTGTAAGACGATCTTCTGTATCAGAAATCAAAATATTACAAATTTTCTTCTTCATCAAACAATACTTCATACCAGTTGTATTTCCCGATCATAGAAACATAAAAAAACAAAAGAAAATGAAAGAAAATGATACACAGAGAGAGAAAACTTGATTAAACTCTTCTTGTATCATTAATGCTCGTCGTGTCGTTGCTGAGAAACCCAAAAATTAAAGGAAAATCATGATGACGTAGTTGGCCACTCTCATGTCTGTAGCCAAAATCGAGCCACCACTAGATTTTAGTTTTTTCGACGCCATCTTAGTGCTGTTTACAATGGAGATTTGTGGAGGGCGTGATGCTACTGTGGTAAGTAAATTTCAATCTTCATGGGTGATGGGTGGCTCTCAATTTACTAGCTTAATAAGAAAGGAAAAGCATATATATGAAAACTGATAAAAAGAAGCTACTTTGTTTGGCCGTGAATATCTGCACCACTTGAAGTCTTGAAGATGGTAAGATTTTGTGGAAAGAAATAAATGAAAATGAGAATAAAAAGAAAAATAGTGGTGGTCAAACGTAACCATGTCATTAAAATAAATATGGGGAGTGGGGGTTGCTTCACTCACATTATTGAAATGGCAGACACAAAGTGACAAATGAAATAGGACAAAATATTATCAATAATATTGTTTTCATTAAACTCCAGATATGTCCATCAATAATTGAAAACGTGCATTATAAAATAATTTTCTATTAATCTCATTATGTCTAGAATAATGAGAGCTTCTCGATTTAAGACAAATATTGATATGGTTTATTAAATTATATTAATATATATTGTCATTATGAAATGTTTGATTTTATTCTATTGAGAAAATTATTTGGTACGTGAACATGTGGATATTTATATATTGACCCTTATGATATGATAAGAAGTATGTGTGACTACATAGACGGCCAGTGCGGCTCTGCCGCCGGCACGGAATATTTAATGATAGCCTACGGGTCAACTGTCGTAATATGGAAGATCATGTGAAATGGTCGAGCAGTGTGTCCACGGAAATAGACAATACAAAAGAAGATTTGATCAACTAAGTGAACCGGTCAGTGTATTGAATAATGATTTTGTAATGGCCAAATGACAAGTGTATTGAATAATGATGACCGGTGATGGCCAGATGACAAGTGTATTGAATAATGATGACCGGTGATGGCCAAATGATAAACGTATTTATGATAACCGGTAATATGGAATGGCCAGTTGGCAACGCCACGTGCAAAAAATGAATGGCTATATATATACATGGGCCGGCCAGTGCGGCTTTACCGCCGGCGACGGGCAATACAAATTAAGTGATAGTCGATGAGTGAAATTGATGATACTTTATATCTGGCCATGTGAAAGTTAATTAAAGTCCTTGTCGTGAACAGACATTATGTGGACTTACCTGATCCTGAAGGAACAGTTGATAAATTGTCTAAATTTATTGATGGAGAAACGAATATTGATGAAGTAGTACCAGAAGTCACTACTAAATGATTAAATGATATCTGGTATATTAGTACTTGAAGCTACCATCTTATGATTAAACAAAATGATACTAGTAGCTATCACTGGATGATTGAACAAATTGAAAAAAAGTGGTATCAAAAGCTACCAGTTATGGGTGATCACACAAAATGATTTCTCAATATATTATATGAGTTTAAGGGGATATATCAGATGACGATATCACATTGTGATACAAGATCATACAGATATTACAATAAAGTGCTCTGGAAGAAGCACAAATGATAATGATTGTAGTCATGAACTACTATACACTGAGAAAAAGCGAAATTGATATCATTATTGCTGAGAAACAAGTACAAAAAGTTCAGATGGTGGAAATATGGAGAAGAGGCAGTAAATGCTCGATGAATACTAAATACGCAAAGATTACATAATAGAACCCATAAAAGAAGCTGGATGCGTATCGAGAGTGTAAAACTCCGTAACTCTGCCACCCATGAATGATATCTGGGTTTATAATGAGAGATCTAAAGGATCAAAAGCTCTTTTTTGCTTGACCCTTTGTGGTTCCACAGAATCTTGAAATGTGATGCATTCTTGAAGCTGTTTGATAAGTTCAGCAGACGTGTCAGCAGATTTGAATACTTCTCTCATTGAAGGAGATATAAAGGTTTGATACACTCCTATGTCTAAAAATCTAAGCAAACCATGAAAGAAGTTATTAAAATTCAATAGACCTATGGGCTTGTTATGAAGTTTCAATTCCGCCCAATAAGCAATGGTAAACTTTGTCATTAGCATTCCATAACCACCTGAGAGAATGATAAAAGCATCGGTATTGTTTACCATATCCATCATATAATCATAAATAGAATGAGTTAGCATCATGCTTGTGGAATCCTTGACAACTCTGGTTGAGCTCTACGAAAAGGTATGATACTTTTTACTTCTATCTCAAAACATTGTTCAGCCATTAAGAGACTATCATAGAAAGTATTGCTAGTCCCTCTATACAGCAAATTGATTTTTCGATTCTCCATCTCTTTTGCTAACTGACTTACAATATCCATAGTTTGAGAAAAACTTACCAGTTTAGAACCACCAAGAACACATATGGTTTTGATCGGTTGAAGAAAATTATTACCTTGCGAAGACTCTGAAACATCCATCTATTTATTGATAAACTGAATTTTTTGAAACTTTTTGAGGCATATTATTATGATGAACGACTCGTTATTTGAATAGAAAGCTTTACAACACAATAAATAATTTTACTATTTCCTTCTGACAATTGCAACTGACAGATAAGGTGTTGGGTTTTAAATAAATCTTATATGTCGGCAGCTATAAGATTTTTTTGTAAAATTACAGTACAACCTACTAAACTGTATTAGTATGATTTTTCGTACTAACAAGACCAATTTTACAAACTTGATCTTTTGAAATAATATTTTCGAGACTATAACGTTCTTCTTCACTTTTGAACTGAGTCCATAAAGACATAAGCTCACGATGCACATATCTACTAGGATGTGTCTCAAGAATCTGTTGAATCGTGTGATCCAGAGACTCCTTACTCAATCCATCCTTTATAAATGCTATTTTATCTTCTCGATTTTTGGACACGTACCCCACAGATTTACATCGTGTGTCACAAGTCCATCGAGCGCATTTGAAGCATACATATAATCTTTTTGCTCTTCGTTTCTTTGCAAAAGTACTTTTACCCATACCTGGCATATATAATCGAACTTGTGCTTCGATCAACCATCGAACATCATTTGGAATACCATTATTCATTAGCACCCTCAATCTTTCTAATCGAGATCGATAAATCCTTTTTATGATATTTACTGGAACAAATGGATAATATTTACGGATATTTGAGAGCGCTAGATCCATTTGTAATCCGGACCTTTGTTAAGAAAGATTGAATGAATTACCTGATAATTTATAGAAATGATGCGTATGCGATACGACTCTAAGCAGTGTTCAAAAGTATGTGTGTCAGAAGGCATGATACGATTCTGGATTTAAACAGTGGCTAAAAGATATTGTGCCAGAGCCTACACTTAAAGTGCATATATTACCGTCGAAAGATGATGTGAAATGTTTGTGATAAACGTGTCACAATGAATTATTGTGATCACTTTAAAAATGTTTACTGGTATAAATCATTGATGGGTCTACTTCCAGATCTAGAGTGAACTGGTGATAAGGAGCTCAGATCTGTTTGAATGCCTTCGAACCGTTGCTAGACCGAGTGAGAATCTGCAAAAACTCAGCATCGGAGGTGTTTCAGGCGTAGAGCCTCCGACGCTCAAGTCAGTATGTGAGAGAGATGAAGAGAGGCTGCGCAACAGCTATGAGGAAGAGTGGAGAATGAATGAGAGTTAGGGTTTGGGGTTACCTCACCTCCTTTTTATAGGAGTGAATACTTATTTGAAGTACCCGAAATGCCCCGGTCGGTTGACCTGTAAGGTCTAAATTGCCCCGGTCAATTCGTCTCTCCTTGCTGCTGAGTCATCATAAGATTCCTTCCTATCCTTTGGAGAATACAAAGCCTTAAACATGTTACAAGTGTATGAAGCCGTCAGTGTGTCTCATGTCTCGAGGTAGGAGGAATCGACATCGAGCATGGACGAGTCAACTCAGGATCTTCTAGTTACTCGGAGGTTATGCTCTTATTGGTCTACCCAAATGGATGTCGACAACAGGGGAGTCGATTCCACGAAGTCGACTTCTACAGGTCGACTTGTATGGGACCTGCCGCTTCTCGCCATTAATCCTATGAAGAGACGTCTTTGAGGAAGTCGGCTCGAACCTGCGGGTTCATGTCGACATGTAAACGGT